GATTGTCAACACTCAACTATCATCAAACCATACTTTATTTGAATAATTAGAGAAAGAAAAAGAGAAATAATAGAGCATTAAAGAGAAAAAAACCAACCGAGGAAAATGCAAAATTCAAACTTGTTTAGAGATTACCCTGCATTGTTAGAGAACCTTCTGGATAGTTGCTGCTCAGATCCAAAAACTCCAAGTTTTCCAAAACAGATAATTCTGCACGAAAATAATACTCAATAACCAACAAGAATTCCATTCAAAACAACATTTGAATTGAATTTCAAACGGGGCTTTCTTCTCCTTTCAATAACAATAACAAAAAGTAAATGCATTTGGTAATTTTTTATTTAAAAAATAAAAATAAAATAATGATATTAAAATCATTGGAGTTTATTACAAGCTTGAAGTTGTTGCTCATGTTATCTTTTTTTAATTATTTTTAAGACTTTTGATATGTGGGTATTCTACGTGCCATATTGCTCTTAACTTTTTTCTAATTAATACTAAAATAAAAATTTTAAAAATTATTATTAGAAAATTAGAAAATTATATTAAATATTTGACTATACTTGCTTTTCATAAGTATTTGACTAACACTTTAAAATAACTAATTAAACATGGAGAAATACCTACATAAAATTTTATAGGTAGAGTTCATGAAGTTTTTTATTAGAAATAAGTAAATAAAAACTAAAATTAAAAATCAAAATTGATAAATTGAAAGATATCATCACATAGATCAAACATGTAAAATTTGAAAAAAAATTTAATAAATTTTGATATATTTATTAAATAAATATTTTAATAAAAATATTAATAGAAATTTTATCATTGAATAAATATCAATCAAATTTAAATTATAAATAATTTTTTTATATATTATTAATTTTCACATTGAACTCTATTAATTTATCAATTCAGATTTTTTAATAAAATTTTTTTTATTTATTTCTGATAAGAAACTTCACGAACTTCACCTATTAAACTTCATGTAAGTTTTATCCATTAAACATTTATATAGTATATGTGGATGTGTAGGCGCTTATATGAAAAAAGTTAATAAATGCAAGAAATATACTAAATATTTGTCTTAAAAATACTTTAAATATATTATTTATGTTAACTTTTGTAATTAATACTAAAACGTAAATATGATGAGTTTATTGTTAAAAAATTATAAAATTACAATAAATCTTTGACTATACTTTTTATTCATAAATATTTGATTGAGCAGTTTAAAATAACTAACTAAACATGTACGTAGCATATGTGGGTGTCTAGGCGTTTATATGAAAGAAATTAATATATTCCAATAACTATATTATATATATCGCTTTAAAAACCTTTAAATATATTATTTATGTTAAATTTCATTAATTATTTAAATATACCATTTTTTTAAATACAGTACATATCAAAAAATTATTATTTAATATTATTTAGTAACTCTATTATATTATATTTAAAAAATCTTAATTTAACTACACTAAAAATCAAAATAAATTAATACTTAATATGATATTAATAACAAATATTAGACGTACCTTGGACAGGAAAGGATCCTCCCATGTCATTGTCAGATAGAATCAATTTTTTAAGAGACGTGAGTGCACTTAAGGACTGCAAAGAGTTATTTAAAAAGTAGTTACCAGAAAGATCTAAAGTCTCAAGCTTTTGCAGTCTCAACAAACCATTTGAACCTGTAATTATATATATGTATAATTACAATTATCAAATTAACTAGTCAAATAAATTTAAAAAAAACTATGAAATTGTAGCAATTTATTAATTAATGTACACATATTCATTCAGCAGGATATATGTTATATAGCATATAGCAGCATACCTTCCTTCTGAATCAGATTAATCCCATACCAACTTAAATTGAGAATCCTTAACTCCTTAAATGGTTGGAACATAGATAAGTTAAGCATAGATGGTATGTTGTCCCCATAAATAATTTCGCCTACATTGCCGAGAGAAAGTTCAATGACATGACCCATGGTGTTGGCGCTCTTGACACTCTCCCAGCTGCCACAGTCTGGATCATCTTCACCCCATGAAGGTCGAAGAAAATAGTCTGCATACCCATTTGATTGGAAGTATGCCTTGATTTACAGTAGACTCCTCCTCTCCTCTTCATAGCACGCTTGGTGCTCATGGAATTGGATAAACAACAATAACAACAACAACTTACACATAGCCATCGATTTCTGTTTTGAAATCTGATGCTGCTACTACACGCATGCACTCAAGCTAAGGTTTATATAAAAACATAAGATATACGTGCAAAGCATCAATTGGCCTCAAGCCTCCAAACATACAGTAATACGACCTTGCTTCACACGTTTGTCCTCTGCTCCGGGATATTTTCTTTCTCCTTATTATTTATGGTGGGATTCCGAAAGTCTTCCTTTTCAGATTTTAAGGACATCCAAAGACAAATTAGTAAATTCTTTCGTGTCTGTCATATTTATTGTTTTCATTTTAGTACAAGTCTGCCACATTCATTTCATCTCCACAGACATGTAACTTTTTTACAATATTATTATTGACTCGGGATGATGACTATGAACGCACCAAGTTTGCTTGATAAATCATTCAATTTAGCCCAACTTACACCTAGCCATTGATTTCTGTTTGAAATTTGATGCTGCAACTGTATGGGCTCAAGCTAAGCTTTATATAAATACATAAGATATACGTGCAATGCATCAATTGGCCTCAAGTTTCAACTTCAATATTGGGTTATCAAATTATACAGTAATAGGACCTTCTTCCATACGTTTACCCTCTGCTCCGGATATTTTCTATCTTCTTACTAGAGTGGGATTCCAAAAGTTAAGTCCTTTTGCGTCTGCCATATTTATTTCCACAGACATGATGCCATCTTTTTCAAACTTTTTTATGACTCGAGATGATGACTTTGAACATACCAAAATTTACTCAAAGGAAACTCCTTCATAATTCACTCAAAAACAAGTTTCTGCGTAGGTTCTTCGAGGAACTCACCCCAGAAGTAATGTCAATAAAACTTCATGTATTTACTTAAACTCATTTCAAAATAATTAATTCAATATTTTAATTAGCACAATTCACACATGCTTATGTTTTCCGCAACTCCGCCTGGAAAAAAATTCCACAATCATTTTCCTACGCAATTTAAAAGCTAAGATTCCATGGGAACAGATCTGGGGCGTGATACATGTTAATATAGGACTCAAAACACTCATTGAAAACTAGTTTTTAAACTTAAGAATCACATTGGCACTACCAAAACTAGTTTCACTTGGCTAATTTCTGAGTTATATAGCACTTGCTGCACTCCTATTAATTAAATAAAGAAAGAAATCCGAAGTTGAAGTTTAATTCAACTGGTTTATCATAATGAAATTGGTAAATAGATAGAGAATATAAGTGTTTTTCTTTACTTTTCTGGATGAAGGGGAATTTAAGTGTTAATATTGTAGACACCCAATTTGGTCTAGGCCCGGATCAATTGGACCTGGTCCAAATAGGTAAGTCTATGTTCTTTTTTCTTCATTTTATTTTATTTTATTTTTTATTTTTATTTTTTTTATTTTTTTGTATTTTACATTTTTTTTTGTATTTTTATTTTTTTATTATTATTTTATATATTTTTTCTTTTTTTTTATCTTAGGTATTTATGTATTTATTAATATGTATATATCTTTATTATTATTTTTTTTTCCTGTTAATATTTATGTATATCAGATTATGTATTATGTATTATTTAATTTTAATTTAAATTTATCTGTTAATTTTTTTGATTTATCTAATTTATTTTCATTTGATTTTTTTTATTTTATCTGGTTGGAAATTGGATTGGGATTCAATCAGAAGAGTCAATGTTGGATTCAATGACTAAATCCCGATCCAAAGAGGAATTGGGATTGATTAGAAACTCTTCTGATCAATCCCTATAAAAGGGACCCTCTAGAACAGAAGAACACACAAAAAAAATAGTGAGGAAAGAAGCTACTGGTTGAGAGAAAAGGGCATTCAGAAGATTTTTGAAGGCTAAGAAAAGGTTTAGAAGTGTTAGAACAGCTGTAGGGATCGAAAAAAAATTTTGGAGATTTTTGGCGAAATTTTTTTCTAGAAATTTTTGGAAAATTTTTAGATTTCGGTTAATTTTTCGACGAAAGTTGAATTTTTCGACGACAATTTTGGCCAAGTTTGAAGTTTTCTGCCAGCTACCCAGTTTCCGATGAAGATTCTCAGAAACCGACCAACTTTCTGGCGAACTTTCGACGAAAAACCCAGATTTCGACGAAAATTCCAGAATCTGGTGAATATTCAACCGGAGTTCTTCGACCGTTTTAGAGAGAAGGGAGAGAAAAGAAGGAAGAGAGAGAGGAGAGAAGGTTTCTGTCAAAAAAATGAAGGAAACAGTCTTATATACCATTCCAAAACGACATCATTTTTGCGTTAAATAACCCAGAGGATCCGCGCGTTTTGCCAAGATCCGACTCGACCCGAGCGTCGACCCGCTTTTCGACCCGTGCGTGTTCTGCCTCTCCGAGCCGTTAGCCGAGCCAAGCCAACGTCCCGAGCCGCTTCTCTGAGCCATTTTTCTTCCTTGAGCCGAGCCGAGTCGAGCCGTTTTTCGAGCCACTCCAGGTTTTTTTTTAATTAATTAATTAATTAATTTGCTTATTTATTTTTTTGTTTTTTTATTAAATTAGGATTATTTAATGTTCTTTTATCTTTATTTTATTTTTATTTTTGTTTTACTTTTTTTTATTTTCACTTTTATTTTGTTTTATTATTTTATTTTCTTTAAATAAAATCCAAAAAAAAATATTTTTGGAAAAAAGTTGAAAGTATCAATTTTCCTCGAAATTAAAAGTTTTCAAAAAATATTTTTGGGAAAAAGTTGAAAGTATCAATTTTTCTTAAAAATAAATTTTTTAAAAAAAGGTTTTATGAGGAAAAGTTGAAAGTATCAATTTTCCTCAAAATTAAAAGTTTCCAAAAAGTATTTTTGGGGAAAAGTTGAAAGTATCAATTTTCCTCGAAATTAAAAGTTTCCAAAAATATTTTTGGGAAAAAGTTGAAAGTATCAATTTTCCTTAAAAATAAATTTTCAAAAAAAAGGTTTTTTTGAGGAAAAGTTGAAAGTATCAATTTTCCTCGAAAATCAAAGTTTCCAAAAAAAATATTTTTGAAGAAAAGTTGAAAGTATCAATTTTTCTTAAAAATAAATTTTCAAAAAAATAAATTTTTGAGGAAAAGTTGAAAGTATCAATTTTTCTCGAAATTAAAGTTTTAAAAGAATATTTTTGGGGAAAAGTTAAAAGTATCAATTTTCCCTGCATAAAAACAATCATTCTTTTCTTTTTTTTATTTTTTTAAATGTTAAATAATCCGACGATGGAGCCTCTGCAAGTGAAACAGTAGTTTTTTTTGCATACTCTTGAGATGAGGAAATTTTCTCAATTTTTTGCTAAAAGTATTAGAGTCAATTGAGAATAATTTCCAATAATTAATTACTTGGTAAAATTTTAAGGCTCATTGGATAACACAAATTTAAGCTGGTACCATCTTTTGATGGGCGTTGTGAGGGTGCTATAACCTTCCTCACACGTAACCGAACTCTCAAACCCTGTTCTGGTTAGTAGACCTGAACTTATTCTTTTAGGGACCTTTAAACTTAAGTGTTCCCTGAAAGGACAGATTCCTTAGGTGGGCAATCGCACCTAGATAAAAAAGATTGGTGGTGACTCCCTTAAGTCAATGTCTAGCGATAGATCCTCGGATCTAGATGTTATGACAGCTTGGTGACTCCACTGGGGACTTTGAGAGTCAGGCCAGCAAATAATTTGTGTTATCCAAAAGCCTAATAAAATTGAACCTTTTTGTATATATGTGTTATTATTCATTCATGTTTATTTACCTTGTTAATTATGTCATTCATATGCATGTGCATAATATGAGCTCTACACCCGAGCTCCGTCCCTCTAGGAGGGAGTAAAGTACCTATTGCTTTCGTGAGGTCTAATGCCTCTACAGTGGCTAGCGAAATACTCCCACTCAAATTGAACTTTTTCCGCTTGTAGCCTGTAATGGGTGAGGATTAGGGTGCCTTACTAGTCTGTGATGGACAAGGATGTAAGGAACAATTTGAGGACCTTTAGACTTTGACCTTAAAACCGTATATAGTGAACCGTAAGAGCGCCTACCTATAGATAGAGCCATCACTCTTCCCTTTTAGAATTAACCAAAAGCATAGGATTCATCCCTTTTACTTTGTGTGATGTTTAAATTTACTTAGTTATTTATTCTTTTTCTGGGTATACTAACCTTTTTCTTATTCTTTTGCATTGGTTCATACGCATGTCATAAAGTTGCATAAAGAACATTTGCTTGAAAAACGGTCTTCAACAAATTTTTTCATGGACTCCACTGAACGACTAGTTTGTTCTTCATCCATATTAACACCTTGTGGGACACCCAATGAAGTAAGGGCCCAGTCAGAAAAGATTCAACTGAAGATGGGAGATTGCTTGCCAATCGGGTATGATTCTACTCTATCTCAAGAAACATCTATCCTTCTCAAACAGAACAATTTAGAGGATTTGGTTAATATCTGGAAGAAGATGAGTCCGTCAAGACAAGAGCAATTTTGTCAGAAACATGGGCATATAGCACAACTTCTAGCAGTAGTTGTTAATGATCAACTAATCAGAGTTGCAACATAATTCTGGGATCCTGCATATAAGTGTTTCATCTTTAATGAAGCTGATATGACTCCCACCATCGAAGAATATTCGATCTTGTTGGGTTTGCATCTCAAGACTCCTGACAAGATATATGTCAAAAAACATAAGTCAGGATTTCGTAAAAGTCTGGCTCAACTCATGGGGATAAACAAGGAAATTATGGATTCTCATACAAAGAAAAAACAAGAACAAATTTGCCTACCTTTGAAGTTCTTTCATGAGTTTCTGATGCAACATGCCAATGAAGAACGGAGATTAGATATATTTACCTTGGCCATATACGAACTGGTGATCTTTCCAAAGGTTTTGGGACATATTGAGATAGTGGTGGTTGACTTTTTTGAGAGTGTGATCAATGGCTGTAATCTTTCAATGGTAATATTAGCAGAAACTATCAGATCTTTGAGTTATTATCGTCAGAATGGATGACGCTTTATAGGATGCATACAGTTATTGTACTT